GTTTTGTGCCCTCAATAGTGAAACAGTCGGCCGAAGAGACTATAACTTGATTTTCAAAATAGTTATGCTTTTTTCCGAAAGCTATCAAACGATTGACAATAAATTTTTGGTAATCATTTTTAATGCCTGAACGGGAGGTTAACACCAATCTCTTCGCCCCGTTATATACCATCCATTGACACAACTCTAACCCAAAGCCACCCAAACCTCCGGTTATTATATAAGTCTTATTGGGATTGAAATAAGTCTTTGTACTGACAATCATACTATCGGCCGGTTTTATGCGTTTCCACGGCTTTCGGTTCGCCTCCTCTTCACGAATACGGATAACTATTTTCCCGATATGTTTACCGGTAGTCATGTATCGGAAGGCCTTCTCCGCGTCTGCGGCCGGAAATACCGTCCGATTCAAGGGTTTTACGCAACCATTGGTGCAGTTCTGGTGAACCCATGTATAAAAAGCGTCCCAAACATACTCGCGGGCCAATACACTCTCGTCCAGTGAAACACAGATAAAACACATATCTCTCAATAAGTTATACATCGGAAGCTTTTTATTCATAAACAAATCCATTTTTCCCAACTCCACAAACCGTCCGCCTGTGCCCACACACTCATAGCTCGCGTCCAACTTATCGCCGGCCAACGAGTTGAGCACTACATCCACACCCCGTCCATCTGTTTCGTCCATTAATTGACTCTTAAATTGCGTACTTCTCGACGAGAATATCTTCTTCGCCGGTATTTTGTATGTATTTATGAGAAACTGTTTCTTCTCTTCGGTGCCGACCGTCGCGTATATATCGCACCCCAAGTGTTGGCACACATTAATGGCCGCCTGACCCACACCTCCAGACGCCGAATGGATTAACACACTCTCACCTGTGGTTTAAAAAAATAATTAATTATTTCGTAAAACATATAACTTATTGCAAATACAGTCAAACCTCGTCTGATATGTGCCCTCTCTATCAATCCATACCATACCGTGAAATACGGGCTCAAAATAGTGACCGCCTCTTCAATAGACCAGTTGTCGGGTATTTTTGTGAACAAATACGGGTCCACATGAGTACTGGTGGCCACACATTTGCTTAGATTCATACCCATAACCCGTTCCCCGGTATCGGCCCGACGGCCGGCAAACTCGTAACCAATTTGTTGCTCATATAGTTCTGAAAGCGCCGGTACTTTGCCTTAAAAACATTACAAACATTTTAATATAATTTAATCGATATATTATTTAAATGTCTGATAATTACCGGTGGCTATGAGTACGTCCCTAAAGATTACGGCCGAGCAGTAGACCTGTATTTTAATCAATTGTCTCTTCTTATTGGTCACGTCGTAGTAGTGGTCAGTCATGGGAAGGGTTGTGATGTCCGTCCACTCGAGTGACGACAAGTCCCGACCCTTTCCTAAACTCAAGTAATACTCATTTGATTGGATTTTATCAAAATCTTTGCCAAAACTCTGGTATCGATAGGAACCGAGTCTTCCATCTCTGATCACATTTGACACCAAATCGTTGGCCAATATATCGCTGAATGGCTTTCGAGTGAAATCAATGTCTTTATTTGTATTGTTTTTATCGTAAATAAAAATATATCTGAAGTGTTCGCCTCCCGGTTCCAGACGTAGACTCTTTACTAAACCCATTACTCCGTTAATACACGAGTCGTTGGCAATGAGCCAAACCCGAGGACTATCGGCACCCAATTCACTGGCCATCAGTAGTCTATCCTTCAATACGGGAAACCATTGCTCACATTTGCTGTTAAATTGGATTATATTTTGTTTGTCCGGAAGTATCGGTTCCGAGACTTTCCTGAAGAGTACAGCCTTTGAACCAATTGTATCGCATTTACTGCATATCACTCTTAATCCCATTTCATTGCCATAAGTCGTGAAATTATTGATCCGTTTCTCGAGATCTGAATCCGTGACTGAATTCCCAAACAATGAATTCAATGCGATCTCCGGTTCCGTCACTTTATATCGAAATACTGTTAATAGAAATCCATTGCTTTCGATGGCGTCCGACAAGTCTTGAATCAAGTCTTGTAAATCCAATTCCCATAAATGGTGTGAATATCTTAAGACAAGCAAATGATTTGCTTTGAGAATTAAACTCTCTTTAATATCCCATTCAAAAGCATTAGGTTTTAGATAATCGGGTATTAATTGTTTCGATTTAACAATCAGTTTGTAGTCGACATCAGACCAAACAAATAGAGAGTAAACCAGAGTTTGTTTGATATTATTTGCCATCAAATCGTTTGTGAAATTAATTTCTGTTATATTCATCTGTTTTACGGGTAAAACATTTTCGCCGATTATCTCAACCATAGATCGGATTAAGCGCTCATTTTTTGTCACGAGATTTACTAAATCATAGCTTAAATCGTATTTAAGATTTGATTGCATTTCATTGTATAACTTGTTTAACACTTGTTTATCGTTTGGTTTAATGTTTTGTTTAGCAATCGTTTTGTGAATTTTGTCCAAAATCTTAAACATAACGTTATTATCAATGTTTGCATTTCTATGGCTTTGTATCACTTCTTCGCTGATAATCATGTAATTGAAATCACATTTCATTTCTTTGAAACCCATTTCACGAATTTTTACAGCAATTGCTTTACAAACCTATTAAGTAATAATTTCATGAGAGAGAGAGCATTAAGTAATACAAACTTCAATATTATCAATAAGTAGTTTCCTATGGTTGTCATCGATGGCCGTATTGTCGTCGTTGGCAATGAACTCATGTCTTTCAAAGACCAGATTGGGATCAGTTTTCCTATTAATGGGAGCGGTGACCATATTATACACTTCAGCGCCGTATGTGAGCACACGATTGACCGACGAGTCAAACACTACCGGCAATTGGGAGGGGAATTGAGCGAACTGTTCGGCGAGACTGTCGTACACTTCTTCGTGTATATAACTGTCATATCCAACGACATGAATGTCGTCCTCTATGTCCACCACTTTATCGGTCAAACGATTCTTCTTCAGCGCCTCGAAGAGTGTGTTCGGGTCGACACGTATGGCGTCGATCATCACCGGAACCACGAGTTTCCGGAAAGGGCTTTGAAAACAACCGCACAGTTGTAGCAAACTATCCAAAAATGTAACCATATTTCCCGTCCACTCGATGTCCGCCGACACCCGACGGAAGTCATTGGTCCGCATATTTGTCAACGACTGAAACCCTTTGGAGTACTCATAGCCCCGGATATGCATCTCTTTCCTAATGGACTCCCTGTCTAACCGGTACTCACACTCCGACACCACTGGCTGTGCATCTCTTTCCTAATGGATTCCCTGTCCAACCGGTACTCACACTCCGACACCACTGGCTGTCCATCACTGATGAGGTGCTGTTCGGTCAGCATATCGTCGGCGCCGCGACGGACAGTACCGACGGCACACATGTTGTCGTTTTCGTAAATTGAAAAGTCACCTAAAAATTCATATAAAATATAACAATAAAAACTGATATAAGTATAAAAAACAATTTACCCGTTTGTTGGTAGTATTTGACAGTAAGTCTTGTCGGGACGTCCGGTGCGAGGAATGTCGCCCTCAAGAACTGGCACTTCGAGAAAACTGCCGGAACCTTATTCCAGATCAGGCCATAAGTGGCGGCCATTTGACGCCACGCGAGCATCAGATAACCGGCCGCTGGGAACAGGTTATTGCCGTCGACCACGTGATGGCACAGGTAGTCGTCTTTCTTGGACCGGATGTTCACCACAACATTCATATCCGCACAAACGGAGCGAATCATATTTACGGGATATTTTGACGAATAAACCGATAGGTCTCGGCTGTGATCCCACTTCAAGAGGGAACTGATCGATGGTGTGCTTCGAGGGACCGGCCATTGGATGGGTGGGTACAAGTGCTCCACAGTTGGATTGAAACCCAATTCGTAGAGTTTAGAGATTCCCGACAGAAACTGATCAATATTTTTATCATTCGAGTTCTTAGATATCAACGAAATATATCGACAATTATCTATCGATTCGGCTATTGTTTTCTTAAAGATGGCGTGAGGGCTCAGCTCCAGTACGACAGCACCGATGGGTATGTTTTTGAGTCGGTCGTAAAATTGAACAGGGTTCATAAGGTTGTATACAAAATACTCGGCCGACGCGTATCGCAGGCGCACGTCTTCGGGCTCTGAAACCATTACCGAAGTGGACAACCATTTACGCGATCGGAGCCGAGGGTTAGGCATATATTTCTTGATGGCGTCGACCATAGGCTGTGCCGATGAGCGCAGGTATTCGCTATGGAATGGGATATCACTGCTCTCTAACTGTCGCACAAAAATCCCCTTTTTATTCAACAAATCAATTGTTTCCTTCATTTCATTTGTCGGACCTTTAATTGAATTCAAAAATTATAAGGCATTGGTTTAAACATTGATTGTCTGAACGCATACCTGATATGACTACAGACTCTTTAGCGTTATTACAGGCAATGAAAACCCCTTTCGGACAGACATTGAGCGCCTCAGCCCTCGACAGCCCCACGACTGCCATCAAACCCCTCGGTATCTGTGGGTCACTCTCAGTGATGGCACCCCTGAAGTACGTGACAATCATCGCATCCCTTGTGCTGAGACACCCGTCAGCGTAAGCACAGGC